TCCTGTTTCCTTAATTTTAAGAAAATGGCTTCTAAATGTGAATGCACAATCCAATAATGCACCCAAATCTCTAATCTCTAATTCTACTTCTAATAATCTCTAATTATGGGCTAGATAATTTAAATGTTATGCCTATTACACCAAAAAAAACACTTCTTTTATGTTTTGTGGGTGCAGTGGTAATAAAATTTAAGTATCTTCCAGACCAAACATTTTTTATAAACCAATTGATAGTTTGCTAGGCGATATTTTTTATTTGTATTGCAAAACTACTGATAAAATGAAAAATAATAAAATTACATTTTCTTTACTTATAATAGAAACTTTTAAGCGCAAATTCGTCCACTTTTGCATACAAATCGACTATATCAAAATATAATCTTTCGATAAAGAATTGTGGTATACATGTGGTATATGCGGTAATGAAACATAATTTGTTTTTGTGTATAGTTGTTTCTGTTTTATATACCATGGGTTATCTATTATTTTAATTTTATTTATTTTATTCAATTGTTCTTATTGGTCATCTTCTCTAATTAATTAACAATGATTGGATGCCGTAACATTTGAATTTCTCTCATGCAAAGGTCAATTTCGCATTATACAATCTACGTCATATGGGATCTCGAGTTTGTATTAGATAGGTATATTTTTAGGTGTTCATGGTCACTTCTTATTAATTGTACATGAATAAATGAACACATCACAAAAATAATAATCATTAATTATGAACAGCACAGTTAAATTATATTTGAAACAATATTCTGTAGTATTGCTTTTCAATTACTTTTGATATTACAAAATCAACACAATATCTTGGTGTACAAGACTGTTGTCATATATTTATTCTACACAGCTTTAAATTAAAAACTACATGGAAAATACCTAACATAATCTTCTTCTTTTGGTGCCTATTTGTTTCGAATATTATTGATCATTCTGGCTATAATTATTTTATTAACTGATGCTTTAAATAGATTAGTTGTTGTTGCGGAGAACCATTTCTTCAGGTTTTTTAACCATGATATACCAAATACTTCGCCTTGAAGGATTATTTTTAGTAATCTGTATTTAGTGTCGTTTTTCATTAAGTGTCCGAGATGACTTTCTCCTTTTAATCGTATACATCACTTCTCTTTCTTTCCTCATACATCGTAGTACAGTCTCGTTGGTTATCTTGTCAGTCCATGATATGATATCCTTAGGATTCTTCTGTATAGCCACATCTCTAAAGCTTAAGTTTTTTCTCCTTAACTGTGTCAAATGCTTTTTGTTAGTCCACAAAGCAGGTTTAGATATCGCAAGTCATATCTCTGCATCTTTGGAATAATATCTGTAGACTAAACAGTGCATCTCTCGTGTCTTTCATAAATCCAAACTGTGTGTCTTCGTCTCTTCGCATGGCTTGTAAATTCTGCGATGTATAATTTTAAGAAAAAGTTTTAGTATATGGCTTATTAGACTATATTCTGCGCACTTTTTCGATCCCTGTTTCTTTGGTAACATAATAAATTTTGAAACTAACCAATCTTTTGGAATATTGCCTGTGTCATAGATGGTATTGAAGATTTTACATAGTACTCTTAAAGATTCATCATCAAGAAGTTTAAGAAATTCAGACTGTACTCCGTCTGGTCCTGGAACTCTCCCTTCTTTTAGTGATACTTTGGCTGCTTTTATTTCTGTCACTAGTATAGGTGGTCCTGTTTCCGTAAGCCGTATTTAGGCCTGGTTCTCCCTCTCATCAAAAAAGAAATTTCGTATGTAATTTTTCCAGGTATTATTAATACTACTGTAACCTCGGAAATCTTTTTTGGGTGGTGCTAGAAAGATAACCAATGGAGGCACTGCGGACGGCAGCCAGATGGTTGGTGGAGAGCGAGTCGTGGGTTCGAAACTAGCTTTTGGAACCGGGAATGGATCCAACCGAAGAAATAGGTAAAGATAGGATAAGGGATATTAGAAAAGGTACAGAAATAAACAAAAAGAGATGGGTAAAATTACCAAAGATAAGAGAAGATAGAAACAGTGCGCCACTCAATTGTTTGGGGTTAAGGAGAAAATTAAGAAAACCTTAGAAAAGAAAAGAGATAAGAAAAGATATTTAGGTTCAGAGATCAAACCCAAGGAAAGATACCAACAGTAAATTATCAAATAAATCTGGTCAACGCAATATATAAACAATTAATAAATATATTAAGTATTACACTTACTTACCTACGAAACTTAATCAGCCTGATCTATCTACAGTTTAAAAGCATAGTAATATTTAAAGATAGTAATTGTTCAGAGCTATTATTTTATCAGGGAACTTGTTAGGAGCCGACAAATAAAATACATGCATAAAACAATAACAATATATTAAACACAAAATTATGATGCTGCTAAATGCAACCCAGGTAATAAAAATACACAACTATGAAATGGTGTTATATATGTATAAAATTAAGCTATAATGTAATAAAAAAATACGTTTACCAAGATATATAAGGCAATCATATACAAATATAGTTTGGCGTATCTCGAGATATAATAGGAAAGGTAATGAACAAAAATTATAGGAAATACAAAAGATAGCAAAAATTACTTAACTCTAAATTCTCAAAACTCTCAAAAAAAAAACAAAAAGGTTACAGGAATGAAAACATAAACCAAACCGCACTTGGTTAAGTCAATTAACCATCTCGCACTATTATTTAATAAAAAACTGAGACTTGTATGTTCATAGGTAATATTTATAGAAATTTCTTGAATGGTTCAATTACATTCAAAAATCGCCAATCTACAGGTGAAGATATAGATGATACGTCCAGATAATGGCAGGTGATATGGTACCATACCATATTACTCGCCCAGATAATTGTAGATAAAGATTACTTACAGTAGATGTTGACGAAGGCAGCTGAATTCACTGAATTTAATACTTTTCTGGTACTAAACCCTGAATTTAATAACCATTAAAGCTGTTGTAGAACTATATATAATTTAATATAGTCTAAGGAAAGAAAACTCAAATATGAAGTGTACACACACTTAGAAAATAATTCACAGCGACGATAAGATAAGAAATATCGTGAGCAAAGCGCATCACAAGATATCACTTCACTCCACAAGAGCCCACCGAGAAGTAAGTTGGTTCCCTAAAAATTTCACCAACTATCCAAGAAAAAAGAAGAAGAAGGTATATCCCCCACTTAAAATCATCGGACAGTCGTATGTATTTCTCAGAAGGTAAGGCCTCAAAGACTATTGGAAAGTTTGAGGTAAAATAATCGGTATTAACAATTGGACCTGAGAATATTAAAATCCTTAGGATTATATTATTGTCAAAAGATACGGGTCTTCGGCGAAAATTACCAATTTATGAAAAAGAAACTGCATACCGGAAAGCATTTGTTCTTTTCATACAGAGTATTAAGACGGAAGGATTAAAAACCTTTCTTAATTAGGGAATTCCATTTCAGCTTGGTGTCTACAATAATATTTTCCTATCGTAAACACGGGGATTCCTAATCATCGGCGTATCGCACGGGGGTAAAAGAAATTAAAAATAATTTGATATATTAATAATAAAAAAAAATGTTACACTATCTTTGTCCATGATTACCTCTCCGTTGTCATTAACAAGTTTACGTACTCTTCTGTTTTTACATTTTCCTGTTATTTCTCTTACCTTTTTATGTACGTTGAAGTCGTCGTATTTACTTTGTAGAATTTTGATTTTGGCGTTTTTTCTCCAGTTCTTTCTGTTTGACTTCTCTCATCTTTCTCTGTATATCTCGTTGTAATGTTTTATACATAGAGTTATTGTTCTTGTTTGTTCTTCTTTTTTTCCATCAGCTGCAGAATCTCTGTCGGCATTCATGTCTTATTCTTACCTTCGATCTTCATAAAATTGTCTTTAATGTTGTCTATCGTTTTATCTTCTTTTCTGTGCTTTCCGTTGTATTATCGATTTCTTTGAATTTTCTATTTATTGTTTTGCCGACTATTTCTTTTACTTCACTACATTTCAGTTTTTTCATGTCATGTTTTTTTACAGTTTTTCAGCGTGTTGTCTTTAACTTGGTTCTATACACGCCCACTAAGGATTGTGGTCACATTGAATATCAGCGTCTGGGTAGATTTTAACACTATTGAAACTTTTTCGACAACTTTTGTTAACAAGTATATATTCTAGTTGGTTTCTTATAATAACGTCTTCTCCATTCAGGCGTCTAGGTGGTAGTTTGTAAAATGTGTTTAGCACGATTAAGTCATGTTCAGCTGCAAAGATACTCATCTAACTTAACTGACAAAATACAGACATTAAATGAAAAGTAACGATTAAAAGAATATCTGTCAGTAACATTCGGTTCGTAACCATTGTCAAAATTTAAAAGTCATAAATGTCATCCATTAATAACAATATTGAATCATCTGACACTTCTCGTTTTAAAATAATTTCATATACCGTTAATATTTTTAAACAGAATATTTAGTTTATATAATAATTAAATTTACTATAAAACGATATTTATTTATATTTTATTATTAATTTAATATTTGGTCTAAGTTTGACAGGTCTGTCAGAAGTAAAGAACGTATGCTTTGTTAATACGTTAGCAGGTGGCGTTGGGAACAAACATAATAATTTATTGAATTATTTTAATATAATATATTTTGTTTAAAATTAATTTAAATTTAAAAATAATAATACAATTACTTTATTTAATTGTAAAAATATTATTTAAGTTTTAAAACTCAGAAAACATAGTATGAAGCTTCGCGGTAGTCTACTGTGCCGCCGACTGTACCATCTTTTTTTGATTTCACTCATATCTCATTCGCTTTTTTTCAAATATTTTCGATGTATAAAAACATCATATACAGTTTACTTTGTTTACAATCAAAAGTTAAAAAAAAATGATATCGTGACGATTCTCCTTATGGCTTTATTGAATTGTGTAAAAAGTTTCAAACATTGTTTTAGTCTCTTATTGTTTCTTTTTGTGTTTCAGACAATAACCTGCGACTGCGAATCGACGCCAGCTTTCCAGCTGAAGAGTTTCAGACAGAAGGGCGAAAAGGCCGAAACGTCGCATTACCGTGTTAACGTCAACCGTTTCAGGGCTAGACTTAATATCTTTTGCGTCTCTGAAAAGCTTAAAGCCAACGTGAAGTGCGACGGATGGCCTGAAATTAAAATTGCCCTTGCTCCTGTGGGAAATATTAAGAATAATCTCGACGAATCACAATTGCAGGAGGTGATAATGTAAGTATTGTTGTCATACTAAAATCAGCTTCCAATTTTACTGATCACTATAATTTTATAGTCAATTCATAAAATGTAAACAAATATAGTATATTTGAAATATAAGCTGGAGTAAATTCTCAGAAAAAAACTAAATTGTTATGCATATTGTAGTACGTGTGGTTTTCGTACAACGTCAATATTTTAGCTTATTTTACGTTGAGTTTGACTATTTAGATTAATTTTCCACGTCACATGGACTATCGTAAAATTTAGTTACCTGCTATTGTTAGAAGAGTAGGCTAGGGATGATTCAACGGGTGATAGACGTACTTTAAGGGAACTATATTATTTGTTTCGGGTTATTAGATATTTAAACCATTTTCAAAGCGTATTATATTTATATAAATCTGTTTATTTTAGTAACCTTATTTATGGCTATTTTTGTAGTTATGATAATAACCCATTAAATAACAAGAAATAAAGAAACTCTTAAAATAAATAGGTTTTTAGTTAATGGTCTTTTGATAGTTTAGATAGAAAAAGTCGATTAGCGAAAGATGGTTTTCGATAAATGTGAACGCTATTTTAAATAGTATAAATTTCGATTTTGTTTGGAAAACCAATGATTAATGAAATGGTTAATTGTCTTTAAATAGTCATTCATTAATATCAGAATATTTTTGTTCAGTCGACTATAAGCGAGTAAAGAGATCTGACACAGTTATTTTTTGCAAGAGTGAATAGTGAGTTTATAGAATATGAAATTAACGTGTGATTATACACCAGTTAAAATATTAAAGTTGATTCATTTATCACTTAACAAAAAGAGTGTTATCCTCAATGTCCACAATTATTTTAAGCAAAACAATCCTTCCAATACTGTTGATAGTATAGTCTAGAAATTTCGTCTAAAGTAATGGGATATTCAAAATCAACTGTATATAACATTTTAAAAGAGGAAAAATCAGCTCGTATAACCCCACCCAAACCGCGAACAGGAAGGCCAAAATTGTCGAAAGTGAATGTGGATGAATTTTTCAAAAATGCAATTCGTAGAATGGTCCACTCATTTTTTTTTTAACAAACAAGTACCAACTTTAGATAAAGTTTTGCAAGCCATTACCGATGATCACGATTTACCCACAATAAGTAGAGACAAACTTTGGAAAGTTTTGCATGAGTTACACTTTAAGTATGAAAAAATTCAGGCAGACAGTCAACGCTTATCGATTCCGAAGAAATTGTGTGTTGGAGACGGGACTACCTCAGAAAATTTAAAAAATTGAGGACAGAAAATAAGAACATTTATTATTTAGACGAAACGTGAGTTAATGGATTTCTTAAGGAGGGTTTAGTTTTGTTTGAATCAAAAAAGACCTGTGATTATCACGAAGAGATGAACGGAGACGTGTTTGAAGAATATTTCGAACAGATTATTGAATTCATACCTAAAAATTCAGTTATTGTGATGGACAATGCTAGTTACCACTTTAGATTAGTTGAACGTTTACCAAATACTCAATGGAGGAAAGATGAAATTGCAATGTGGTTAACTTCTAAGAATTTAATCTTTGACGATACAATGACAAAAGCCGAATTATAGAGCTTGCTAAAATAAATAAACAAAATCATAAAAAATATGTCATTGAGAAGATAGCCAAAAAACGAGGAATTGAAATACTTCGCCTACCACCGTATCATTGCGATCTAAATCCGATTGAATTAGTATGGGCCTAAGTTAAAGGTAACGTTGCTCGAAATAATACAACTTTTTAATTGTCAAATGTTACTAATTATTTTCATAAATCAGTATCCGAAATAACGACTGAACATTGGTAAAAATGTATTAATCACATTATGTATATAGAAAAAAATATGTGGGAGATTGATCATATAATAAATAGCCGTATAGAACCTACAATAATTCATCTCGGATCGGATAACACTTCGTCTGAACAGAATATGAGAAAGTTTAACGTTAAACTGTAGCTCAGAAGTTTATTTTACATTTGAACTAATTACCGTCAACTTCATTGTTTATTTCTTATTTATTTTTTTATTGCTAATATAATTTTCATTCTTATTTTCAATATTAGTAGTATTAAGAATATTATTAATTATTAATAGGAATGTATAAAAACTTACAGTTTTTGTGTATGTATTTTACGTTTCAGTATAATTTTTATTGTATTTTATTATTTTATATTAACTGTATGTTTCACAATTAATAGAATTTTTATTCTTTTTATGTGTATCTTTTTATTTTAAAGAAGTATTGGATTGGATTAATTTCTTTGTTCTAAATATCCAAATAAATTTAACGCAAACTTTTCTTTTAAGATTACGTTTTAATTAGAAGATGTGCACGCGTATATATTTCGAGGTTCGAAGATTAGTATACTGAGAATTTACTGTAGCTTATTTTTAAAATATACTATAGGTATAAAAAATAATAAAAATAATAGCTGCTGTCTCAATTTTAATAAGCTAATTTAATTAAAATTCAGATAGAGTTTAACATATAGGTCTTTGACCTGGTTCACTTTTTAAAAAATGTACTATGTCAATTTTTTTTAACCTATTCTCTATCCTTCCATTGTTGGATATAGGTCTCCCCCAGTTCTCTCCATCTTTCCCTATCTTGAGCTGTTCTCTGCCATGTGGAACCTCCTTGTTTCCTGATGTCATCTTTCCACCTCATCTGTGGTCTGCCTCTTAATCTCTTTGCATTGTATGGGCGCCACTTTCCGATGGCATTGTTCCATCGTCCATCTTGGAGACGTTCATTGTGTCCAGCCCATTTCCATTTCAGTTTTTCTGCTTGTTCTATCGCGTCTACTGTCTTTGTTCTGGTTCTGATCCACTGGTTACGTTTTCTATCTTTAAGTGATATACGGGTCCATGATGTAGGAACTTTCATTCGCTTGTGAAAATGAAATAGAACTGAGCTTTCATAGTTTTTGCCAAAAAGTTTTTGGTCTAATGGCCAGTACCCAAATTGACAAAGAGACATAGTTATAGCACAAATATAGGTAAAATTAGGAAGTTAAGATTAATGAGATATTACAAATTAAGGGGTTTGATTTTTGGTTGAACACAAAAGTAGCGAAACCTGTAATTTCTAATTGTTTATTTATGTTCTCTATAACTTTAGTTTAATATATATATATATATATATATATATATATATATATATATATATATATAATATATATATATATATATATATATAATATATATATATAATATATATATAATATATATATATATATATATATATATATTATATATATATATATATATATATATATATATATATATATATATATAAGGATCACTCAGATGAGTGGTGGGTTCTTATATCGGTCTCTAGGTGGAGAAATAAAAGACAAAGTTGATAGGCTACTTTATCTATTTTGAAGACGTTTCGTTTTCGAGTTTTGAAAGCATCATCAGTTCATCTAAAAAATTTTACAATATGAGAACCACACAATCATGGAAACGATGTTAATTGTTACCTTAAAAAGATATGTAGCAGTCAATGTTATTAACAAACATGTGAATGAAACTAAGTAAATGGACATAATACGCTGATCTTGTATAAACAGTTAAGTAACTAACAACATATATGAACTTATAAAAAATTAGCACAGCAAATGACCATGTGGTCTAAAGTAAATTCAATGTTATTTAATGTTAATTAGTGAGTAAGAACCAAGAAAATCATAGATAACTTCCAACTATTTAATGGATATTAAGCTTTGATTTTAACTTTAGGTAGCATTATAAGTGATATTAATAAAATTTTTAAAAAGTAGTATAAATGAAGTTACCGACCAAAGTCTTATGAATGTCGCCGGGAAAATGGCGTTTAATGAAACAGGAACGAACTAAACCGTGAAAAGACAGCCAACCTTGAGGTCAAAAATACATTCGACAGATCAACAAGGTGTAGATACCAACCCAAATTTTGGGCGGTTAATTTAAGTTTAAATGAGTTTGGATGACTACCCGGTTGCAAAAGACAACACAGTGAAAAAAGTTGGTAGTGTAATAGCAACTCCCCTCACTAATCAGTCCAAATTTACAAACAGGAGATTTTCATTCAACCTCATAAGTATGTAATAACGTTAATTATTATGGCTAGTTAAACAGCCACAGGTGGTTAACGATTCGTTAATTTCCAAACAGCCCAAGGTTCAATATACTTGGAACTGTGATTTGCAAAGGATTCTATGAATCAATTACAATATTTGTATTATTTTAGTATAAAATTGGTAGCACTAATTAAAGTAATTAGTGTATGGAAATGCAATGTAAGTTGCATATGTAATAGTAAAATTAAGTAAAGAATATTAAGTTATTTTATTGATATATTTATTTATTTTATTTCTATTTATGTATATAAATTATTTTATGAAAAATGGAAAAAGGTTCAAATAGTACACCTAATATGACACTAATGTAGTGAAAAGATCAAGTAGCCTAATTCTGCAAAATTAAAGCATGATATATTTGGCTCAAGTTACTTATGTCAGTTCTCTTATTCAAAGCATTAGGGTGTTTTAATATTGAACTCATTTATACTACTTTTTAAAAATTTTATTAATATCACTTATAATGCTACCTAAAGTTAAAATCAAAGCTTAATATCCATTAAATAGTTGAAAGTTATCTATGATTTTCTTGGTTCTTACTCACTAATTAACATTAAATAACATTGAATTTACTTTAGACCACATGGTCATTTGCTGTGCTAATTTTTTATAAGTTCATATATGTTGTTAGTTACTTAACTGTTTATACAAGATCAGCGTATTATGTCCATTTACTTAGTTTCATTCACATGTTTGTTAATAACATTGACTGCTACATATCTTTTTAAGGTAAATCGTTTCCATGATTTGTGGTTCTCATATTGTAAAATTTTTTAGATGAACTGATGATGCTTTCAAAACTCGAAAGCGAAACGTCTTCAAAATAGATAAAGTAGCCTATCAACTTTGTCTTCCGATATATATATATATATATATATATATATATATATATATATATATATATATATATATATATATATTATAGTTGTCACTGGAGGAGGAAGGAATTAATTATTACATTTTGTACATTTTTAGAGAAATTTTGACGGACGCACTAAGAAATACAGACGTTGACTTAAATTTGGCCGAATACCCAACCTGCCCAAGGTTAGTGAGGCATGTTGCTGTGCCAGGACAAATGTTACCTGTGCATTATGATAGTATGGGTATGGTAAGTATCTATGAATGTCATTTACAGTTTTTTAAAGTTTTTTTAAATCTATGGAATATTATGTGCTTCACAAGCATGTATGTCTTCTAACCTCCTCAAGAATTTCTCTCCAATCATTCCTATCTATCGCCTTCCTCCGCCAAGCACATATTTCCATATTTCTCTCTCCACACTCTGTTGTCATTCACCTCTCCATAGATTCCCCTTAGTACTTTTCTTTCGATATATTCTCGAACCATACGTTAGGCCTGAGTGTATTATTGTTTTGTAGAGTTTACCTTTGTATTTATCTCTGTCTTCCTCCTGGATTCCATTCTATCATTGCGTATGTCACTGCTTCATCTACTGCTCGACAAATGTGACCTAACCGTCTAACTCGACATTGCTTTATTTTTGTCACGATGTCTTCCCTAAGTTCTTTCTTAATCTCTACATGTTTCTGCTTCATTTTATTCTGTTCTGATCGGTGCCAGTATGGATCTCATAATCTATCTCTTCGCTATTCGTAAGTCTTCTTTATCTTTTTTGACCATAGTCATTGTTTCTCCTACATTTAATAATGTCCCAATTATGGTGTTATAAGTGTTCATCTTAGTTTTATTAGTTGGTGTTTTGCTTTTTAGTAATCGTTTGTTTGCAAAATAAGCTTTATTCGCTGCTAATATTTTTTCTTTTATTTCGGACTTCCTTTTGCCGGTTTTGCCTATTGTAACTCCTAGGTATTTGAAGTATTCTACTTCTTGATACTCAGAACTTCCTATTTGGATATTTTCTTTCATTGGCTTTTTTCCTAATCTTAATATTTTGTCTTTTCTTGATTTAATCTTAGTCCCATCACCTCCTCTTTTTCTTTTTGATTTCTTCTAGCATTTCTTTCATTATTTTCCTGTTCTTTGCAATAATAGCAATATCGTCAGCAAATGCGATTATTTGATCATCAGCTCTTAGATTTCCTTTATTTATATTTCGTAGTACATATTCTAAGGCTAGATTAAATAGCGTTGTTGATAAGGCATTTCTTTGTTCCATCCCTTTATTTATGCTGAATTCCTCTGTCTCTTCTTTTTGTGTCCCTATGGTAATTTTTGTAGTTCTCATTGTCATATCCATTGTGTTCCAATTTTGTTGAGCTTATTAACAAAATTTTCAGGTCTCCTAGTACAAATATGCCATCTTCTTTGGGTATTTTTTTTATCTCCTCTTCGACCTTATAATAAAAGATTTCTTTTTTATTTGCATTGCTTGTTTCTGTAGGAGCGTATAAGTCCAACACTGATACATTAAATAGTTTGTTGTTGACTCCTACATAGGCCATCCTTTCGCATATTGGCTTGAAATTTATAATTTTAGGTGCCTTAGTATCATGAATCCCACCCCTTTTTGCCCTTACTTCCTTCCTCCTGAATATAACGTTTAAACTGGACTTCTTTGTACTTTATTACTGGGAGCAAATAGCCGTTCCTCTTCTTCTGTATTTCTTTTCTGATTGTCATCGGCTATGGATTCAGATGATAATCGGCTGTATTATCATCTGAATCCATATTTCTACTGCTACTTCTCGCGATAAAACCAGTCCCCCACTCAACGCGACGAAGGAAACTGGTTCTCTTCTCTCAAGCAGTAGCTTGTAGTAATTTATTTTCACGTTTTCTTCCGTGATAAATTAATTGTCAGTTACTTTGGAACATTCTGATGTAGCAACGTTCACCTCTAGCTTTTAAAATTAATATATTAGCGTTAATTATCTGAGCCGGTTTTGTTTTTAGTTTTTTTTGTGGTGATAGTAAATAAAATTGCCTTCGCCTTTCTAAATAATTGATAGAGTATGCACTTATCTATCTTACAATGTCTTTGCTATAATTATCATTAACACTTTTATTCTTCTATGACACACTGCACGCAAAATCAGTAAAATTATCGACTCACAATATCCAAAAATTGAAATTATTATGAAGCAGAATTTACACACATCTATTCTGTAGTCTGTATATATACAAATACTCTCTCAAATTTGTGGAAGTGTTGGGTGATTATTGTGAATATAATGGAAGTATGTTTTACTTGGTACGGTAGTTTCAGGTCAAACTGTGGTACGGTAGCTTTACGAAAGGTTTACTTTGCGTCCATCATCATTTATGCAATCTTTTCTTCTTAGAGTGCCGTCTCCCTACGGAGGTTGGTAATCATAATGGCTATTTTTATTTTAGAACTTGCTGCTCTAAACAAATCAATCGATCTGCATTGGTACCAATCACGTAGATTCTTTAACCATAAGTTCTGCCTTCGGCCAACAGATCTTCTTCCTTGAATCTTTCCCTGTATTATCAGTCTCAAAATTTCATATTTTGGTCCCCTCATCACGTGGCCTAGGTATTCCAGTTTTCTGGTTTGTATAGTGGTGATTAGTTCTGTTTCTTTACCAACCCTCTCCAGTACTTCTTTATTTGTAATTCTATCAGTCCATGATATTTTCAATAATTTGCGCTATAACCAGAGTTCGAAAGCCTCGATTCTTTTTAAATTACATTTTTTTAATGTCTAAGTCTCAGCTCCATATAATAATATTGAAAATATATAACAGCGAATGGTACGTAGTCTGATCTCCAAATTTAGATTTTTGCACGTTAGGAGTGGCTTCATTCGTATAAATGCTGATCTGGCAATCTCTATTCGTCTGTTTATTTCTACAGTATGATCATTGGTTTCATTGATCAAAGTTCCCAAATACTGATATTTTTCTACTTGTTCTATCACGTTACCATTTATTGTCAATAGGTGATGTATATTTTGTGGCCTTTTTGTAATCAGCATGTACTTCGTTTTTTTAGCGTTTATAGTAATTCCCATCTCAGCACTATTTATACTCAATCAATCAATGCAATCTTTTATTTAAAGCCTATTTGATTTTTAGGGAAACATTAGTCCGACCTTTAGTTCAACGCCCAATCACCTGACGTCAGGCGTGCGGCAAATTCCAGGAGAAAAACGACTTTTAGTGAAGGTAGTGAGAGCGGCACAATTAGGTGCTTCCCAAGGCTGTGCAGAACCCTACTGTGTGGTGGAAATGGACGAACCGCCACAGAAGAACCAGACCGCCGTGGCGAAAAATACGGATTCGCCTCAGTGGGATGAACATTTCTTATTGTAAGTGATTTTTACTATTAAAGTTATATGCTAATTATTCTTGTACTTTTATAAATACCATATGAACGAATATTTCCTTAAACTACACAGACTTGCTATTACCTCTTTAACAGATTGACGTCAAGCTGATTTAGTACTTCTCCGAATCCTTTCGGATTTGGGTCCTCCAATGTTGGTTATTAGCCTCCTCAACGCAGCCGCACTATTCGCAGCCTTCCGGACCACCTCTCGCACGTGCTCCCCCCATTTCCCATTCTGGTGCAATGTCACTCCTAGGTACTTTACTTGTTTCTTGGGTGTTAGACATGCTCCCGCACATTTCAAGCCTGTTCCTTCGGTTTTCTCTGCCGTAAATTTCAGTTCGTGCTGCGTCATCCATTTCTTTACGACTCCGCCTGCGTTCCGAACCAGGTATTTGAGATGTTGCACCCTCTCCGTATTCACAGTGCATAACCTCGTCATATGCCAGGTTCCATAGCGTCGGGCCCAAGACAGATCCCTGGGGTACCCCGGCCGTCACGTCCACGATCGTGCCTTTTCTACCATAATCCTTCTCTCGGACAGATACTCCGCCACCACATTCATCAGGCAACCAGGACATTCTCTCTTCTCCATTGCCTTCATTACCTCGTTCCATTGCAGCGTATTGAATGTATTCTTAACATCAAACAACAGCAGGGCCGCCCAGCGATATTCATCCGCTCTGTTGCGCAATGCTTCGAGCACACTCATGATTGCATCAATCGTGCTTTTTCCTTTAAAAAAACCAAATTGTCTTCGAGATAAACCACCTGACCTCTCAATCATGTCGTCTATTCGTACTCGCAGCATCCTTTCATATAGCTTACTGATGCATGGAAGAAGACATATGGGGCGATACTTTTCCCTAGCTTTGGGAAGCAGTATTAACATCGATGTCCTCCAAGGCTCAGGAAAGGTTTGTGCTTCCAGCAGTGCATTCATGTGTTCCAGAAGCTACGCAGGCTCCACTCGTCCTAGACCATTCACCGCCTCAGGTGGTATCTGATTCAGTCCGGGGGACCTACGAGTCTTGCGTGAACTCCATATCCATAACATCCCTCCATACACCATGCCATCTGCCGTCCGGAAAGAGGTCTTGTGTTACCTCAAGCTTCTTGTCCATAGGGATTTCGTAAGGAGGATACGCATGGAACTTCTTCATGGCGATCTTGTTTCCCTGACCCCAGATGTCCTCATCCAGCTTTTCCAACAACTCTTTCCTGTGCCTTCTTTTTTCTGTACAGTTCCCTCTTCCATGTCCGGTACTCTTCCTCGATCTCCTCTATGACCTCAGGGTTGATCCCTGCCTCTTGTCTTGTTAACCTTCTTCTCATTGCTATAGATTAATTTCTTAGTGCCTCGATGTCCGCATTTAAAAAATATGGCATCCTGTTGACATCTTGGCGACCAATCTTGCTTCCTTCCATCGCTTCTTTAATGACTCTCTCCAGGTTTTCCACCGTCGGTGATTGACCCTGCATTATGCTCACTCTTCATTTAATTAGCTTCTCGTATATTTTCCCGTCATTCCCATCGCCGCATCTGCCCCCCGACGTCCCGGATGCACGGACCGTGTTAGTGGTCCCCGTTCCAGTTATCGAGAACTCGATGTACTGATGTTCAGTTCCGGTGTAGTCTGGCAAAATCTTCCAGCCTCTTGATCTCGCCGCTATTCCTTGTGTCGCCATAGTCACGTCGATGTACGTACCTGTACCTTTCCTAACAAACGTAGGCTCTAGACCTGTGTTCGGAACCACTAGGTCTAGAGTACAGACCCAGTCAGTTAGTATCCTGTCGCGAGTATCGGTGATGGGAGATCCCCACTCCGCTGCTTTTACGTTAAAATCTCCCAGCACTACGTATTCTCCTACTGTGTTTCCCACTTATTGCAGGATCTCGTCTATCTTCATCTCGTACTCGCCCGCCGTCACGTTTGGAGAAATATAACAGCAGACCAACCGCACCCCCTCCATCCGAAAATCACATATCCTTCTTTCGGTTTAATTTCATACACTCGCAGCTTCCTATTGTAGATTCGTACAGCAGCCCTCCCGGTCGTATCTACAAACCATTCTCTTCTCTATACCGCTGTTGCATTTGGTCACCAGCACATCGATGTTCTTTTCTACTGCAGCAGTCTCAGCAAGATCATGTGCTAATCTTGCTGTTCGCACGTTAGTTTGGAGCACCCTCAGCTCTCGAGTCCTGTCTCCTTTGTTTGCCATTTCTAAACCTTGGACTTCTTTCGCGCTCTCTTTTACACTCTTGTACTCTTCTTGGCACTAGTTCTCAGTGATTCCTATTTTCAACCGGTCGGTTGAACTTCGGGCATATTCTTGAATTCACCACATACCCAGTCACGTCGCAGTTGAGGCATCTGGTTGTTTCTTCCTTGCATTCCAGCGCTATGTTTCCCTCTTTGCCACATTGGAAACAACATCCTCTTCTGTTCTGCACCTTGCAGTGCCATTGTTTATGTCCAAAGGCTAGACATCTCATGCATCTCGGTATTTCTACCCTTGATTTTATTACTCGGCAGTATGTGTAGTCTACTTTTATTCTTTTCATTTTTAAGATTTTTTCAGCAGTGTCTTCATCCACATCGATCACGGCACTCATCATCCCTCTTACTGCGCCTAGTCTCGGTCGAAATTTTTATGATATCACAGACCCTCTCTTTGCCAGCTGCTTCCTCTGTGGCTTTTTGGATCTCTTCCTTCGTTGTATTGGGTGGGATTTCCTGTACCAAGATTCTTCTGTTCACTTGGCAAGAGCAGTATATTTACTACTCTATAGATGGATTAGTAGTCAGTATTATTCAAGGCCTCGACATTATTCGCTGTAAAATTGGGGTCTAAATCACTATCATCAAACTCGCTTTCACTTCCTATAGAAGGCGTAGGTATCTCTTTGTATAATCGTAACACACGTTCTGTTTCTCGGTCATCCATCTTGCTGAACCGTCAGTCAACTAACAAGAGCTGCTATTCCTATAAATAGTTTAACACTGGCAAGAGCCGAATCATCAACTTCTTGCCGAATCGGGATGGACAAGATCAAATTAAATTAGTCAGGTCTGTGAAGCCATGAATACCAAATTAGTGCACATACTATATTTGTTGTATGTTGAAAAAAATATACTATGGAAGACTGAAAATCGATAATCAAATATTTAAATAAAAAGCGGTTTAACATTTAACAAACAATACGGTGTGGCCCCAAGGACCGATATATTGATTTTCCCAAACAAGCTTATGGATATGATAGTGTGCACCATATTGGTGCACGTGGTAGTCAACCTGTTAATGTTGGTATATTCTTGTAGCTGATTTCTTCTTTCAGTATTGGTAACCAGAGCCTGCTACTTTATATTAAGAGCGTAGGCGCAAAATTTCGGGCCAATGCTTTTTAAATGCATTCATTTTTTTCGAATCCTGAGAAAACTAATAAATATTTTTGAAAAATTTAAACGCAGAATGAAAGAATACATTATTACCGAGGGCCGAAAGTCCCTGAAAACTTCTATAATGTTTATTTTAATAAGTTACAGGGGTGAAAAAAAAAAGAGAAAATTTAGTGTGATTTTCAATTTCAAATATCTCATTCAAAAAACTTTTTGTTTATTCTAAGGGACTTTCGGCCCTCGGTAATAATGTAATCTTTCATTCTGCGTTTAAATTTTTCAAAAATATTTGTTAGTTTTCTCAGGATTCGAAAAAAATAAATGCATTTATAAAGCATTGGCCCGAAATTTTGCGCCTACGCTCTTAATGTGTTTGGTAGACATTTTTTTCATTTAGTAAAATAAGATGTGCTTCTTTCATATTTCTCTCATGACTATTGATGCATCTTTCCATTTTTATTTTCATTATAATTATATATACATACCATCTTTTGTAAAATATTTATAGGCCGTATATTAATGATTTACGTATTTTTTAGCGATTTATCCCCAAATACAGCGGAACTGCTGTTCGAAATATACGATCACTCAGTGAAACCGAACAAATTCCTAGGTTTAGGTATAGTAGGAGTAGAAGAACTTCTGGTAAATCCATCTCAAAGGCAGATTATTTCTTTGCAGAGTCGACCATACGAGAGCGATCCAGTTTCGGGAACTCTGACAGTCGAGGTAAGTTACATTTATCTCTTCGTAGAATTATTTGTTTCTATAGATACGAATAGATACAAATTACTTATGATATAGGAATATACATTAGAACAGAAGTAATGTCAAATATATAACTTTACGTATATAATGTATAAACTTTGTCTTGATATATTTATTCCATCAAATTTTTCCTTCAATTAATGTTTTGTTATATTCTTGTTTGCCTAAATGGCTTTTTTCTATGTACTACTTTATATAAAATAACTTTTGTTCACTTACGTACATATAATTCCGTATTTTATTTGATCTGGTTATCCCATCATCATCATCATCAACCTGTATGGGTCTACTGCTGGACATAGGTCTCCCTCAGCTCTTTCCATCTATCTATCCGGGTAACGGGTAGCGGGTGGATACTTATCTGCGATCCCGACAGGGGATAGAACATCTACTTTAGGAATAGCACACCTGCCCACGCGAGCTTATGGATTTTCCCAGCCTCCCACCCCAGAGGAAACCATGTCCAAATCCAAAGCATTCCTATCTCCACCCTTTTCTCCCCCCACTTCCAAACCAACTAGCCAAGCGTGGCGTTTTATTAGCTTAAAACCGCAAAGGTTATCCCATAATACTTCTAAAATGTTTCGCGAAATCTACGTTTCTTTACTATATATTTTTCATTTGTGTCAGTGCTGATAATGTATCTTCTTTTTCTTCTTCATCGGCTTTTCCCCTTTTTAGGGTCACGACCGTACTATTCTTCCTGTTCATCGTTTCTTCTTCATTTAAACCCTTCTCTATCAAGTCAGTCCTTTTCCACACAGTCCTTTCCATGTCGGTTTTCCTCTACTCCTCTTTCCTGTCATTCCTGTCATATATATCGTATGTTTTTTAAACTTTAATTTGCTTTAGGCTTTTTTTTGCAAAACAAATAAATTTCTCTTATTAATTTTTATTCTCGGGGCTTTCTTATCCTTAATTTTTCTACGTGGCTTCAAAGTAATATCTATATTATTGCCTTTGAAGGAAAAATAGACAATGGGAAAATATATTAAAATAAATAAATTTGTGGTAATAAATTATCAAACAATTTTTAAAAATTACTTTTAAATTATTTAATTAAATAAATTTACAATTAAACCAAACATATAACCTATGCTTTAATACGTATAATTAAACTTAAAAATTCTTTAATGTTCATACACAAATTATCAATACTTATTATGACTTGTACTCAAAAAGAAGATCTCTTAATTAAATTTTATATTTATTATGAAAGCGAATACCTGAACAAAATGTTGAAAGAATCAAATTAATTATGATATCGTTATCAGTCTGGTTAAAAGTGATTTTTTTATTATATAACAGACTGACCTTTTATTTACACAATTTTTCAGTTGGCTCCTTTTCTCTTCCGACTGTGTTCTGACCATCTACTGCTCGTATTCTTGGATGCTTCACACATCCATGTTCTCCTCAGCTGGTGAAAGACTCTCACACACACTAACGCCGCTATAGTTGATGTAAATTCCTCTTTGAATTGCTACCACTCGTTTGGCTTGTTCCACAGACACATCAAACACTATACACAATTTTTTATTTACAAGCAACTCTGCCCACTTTTACTGCAGGCTATGGAGCAACAAAACAAGCAGCTTCTTCAGAACTTCAGAACACAGTAAAATCTCCTCCGGTATCGCAAAATCGGTTTGGTATTGTTTCCCGTTACCTTCCGCTTCTACCAATCAGGTTCCAGCATCATACACTCCATACCTTAAATTTCAACCGATCACATTCAATACTTTCTCAGTAAACAAATAATTTATAATATTTGGTATGTCCAATTTCATGAATAATTCCTTTCTTTTTGTTTAAGAGTCTCGATATAACACTATAACTAAACATCAAGATTATTATCTACTCTCATCTTTTACTAAAAGCTTTCTCCTTACTTTCAAGATTCTGTGTACAAAAAATTTCTATTTTGTATTCAAAGAATTCTTATACCTGTGTCTTTGACATAATTGGTCTAACTGGCAGGTTTTGTATGTTTTCAACAAAATTGATAGTGTGTAAATTAATTTATTAATTAAGCTAAGTATACTTTCGACATAATAAATGTCATCATCAGAGCTATCCTAAAATAACGTTAAGTTAAGTAAATTTTTTATATAAAATACAATGATAGAAAAAACTTACGTCAATTAGGCAATAAATACTTCATAGAAGGAAAATTGTGGACAAACGACATATTAAAAATCAAAGATCGGGCTCTGTAGGCCACAGATCTTGGGTCTAACCCTTATACATATGTATAATTCACATTAAAAAGTTTTTTTATAAAACATGGTTACCACATACAGTAACGACAACAGCTGTCTTTGACTTACATTTTTGAAGTAAAATGAAAATGAAATAGAAAGCTCGGATATACGGAAATAAATCCGAGAGCGACCTCTGTATTTAAATTATTAATTAAAAATTGAAAATGTCTAAAATGACGTCTGAAGGTTATTGATTATTACTTTTAGCTACTCTAGAATTTTAAATTTAAATATTTTAAATTGATTAGTTAACGTGAAGATTTAAAATATACATTTATCAATGTTATCAAAAAACAAAACTTTAAAGTTTGACCAAGTAGAAGAAAGTAGATGAAAACCAACCAAGGAGAAGTATCATTTGCTAAGTTAAAAGTTCAACCACAGAATAATAAACAATCAGAAGGGCTCTCTCAGATGCCGCCTTTGAAGTTTTTCAGCACGCGCGCCATGTTTTAGGAGGACACACATATGATTTGTGAGGTTATGCAATTGTTTACATTTATGTTTAATTATATTATATTTATGTTATTATATTTAAAACTGTTAATATAATTGTATAGTATGTCTATGATTGCCGAAAGTCAAACAAACCTGGTTTTTTTTTCCATGCATACCACATAAACAACACTGGTTCCCTTTAAAATCCTCGTAAAACATGGCGGAACGTCTGCGCGAAGGAGATGCGCGTACTTAATTTTCCGTGGAGAGTGGGTATTCTGTTTGTTTATTATTCTGTGGTTCAACTCTTAACATGAACTCTTAACTTAGCAAATGATACTTCTCCTTGGTTGGTTTTCATGTACTTTCTTCTACTTGGTCAAACTTTAAAGTTTTGTTTTTTGATAATATTGATAAATGTATATTTTAAATCTTCACGTTAACTAATCAATTTAAAATAATTTAAATTTAAAATTCTACAGTAGCTAAAAGTAATAATCAATAACCTTCAGACGTCATTTTAGACATTTTCAATTTTTAATTAATAATTTAAATACAGAGGTCGCTCTCGGATTTATTTCCGTATATTCGAGCTTCCTATTTCATTTTCATTTTACTTCAAAAATGTAAGTCAAAGACAGCTGTTGTCGTTACTGTATGTGGTAACCATGTTTTATAAAAAACTTTTTAATGTGAATTATACATATGTATAAGGGTTAGACCCAAGATCTGTGGCCTACAGAGCCCGATCTTTGATTTTTAATATGTCGTTTGTCCACAATTTTCCTTCTATGAAGTATTTATTGCCTAATTGACGAAGTTTTTTCTATCATTGTATTTTATATAAAAAATTTACTTAACTTAACGTTATTTTAGGATAGCTCTGATGATGACATTTATTATGTCGAAAGTATACTTAGCTTAATTAATAAATTAATTTACACACTATCAATTTTGTTGAAAACATACAAAACCTGCTTACCAGTTAGACCTATTTAGAAGTGTGTACAAGTCTTACAGTCTTTTTCAATTTGACATAATTGTTTATTAAAAACCGACTATTGCCATCATATCGATATCTATCTGCTTTATCATAGCTTAGAAAAACCATTACTCATTCTTTCATTCTTATTTACAAAAACATTTATTTTTTGCAGTTCTTATTCATAGAGGGTGCTGATATACCAAATATAAGTGGTAGCCAACCTTATAAAATTAAGGAAACTTTAAGGAGTCCATCTCCTGCTACTAATAGGCTTAATGTTACTAATACTATGACTACTTCAACGTTCCAAAATGGTAAGAAAAAAGTACTTTTTTATAAAATAAAGTGAATAAAGTCTGCACTAGTTTATTTCAGGGTTAAATTGATCTTGATCTCTTTTGATCTTCTTTTCCATTATTTGCTGAGCGAGTATGTAAGTTATGAAAACAAGAATCTGGAGTAAAACCGCTCTGATTATCTTCGAGTTTACACTCATAAATTATAGTCCATTTCCATCATATTGATAGCACATTATGTATGCAAATCCCTAAACTGTTGATACGGGTGACTCAATGAAAAGTAGATATTTGTCAACAAGTTTACAGAAGTATATAGGAAAACAATTTTAAATTGAGTATTACCACAAGGTATAAAGGTAATAAAATACAATAGTTTTGAGGGTTACCAATCCCTAAATAAAGTTGTCAGTGTCGGAGTGATGGAGATTAACAGGTACTAATGAATTGGCAAGAAATGTAAGATGTTTATTTTATTGGTTATATATAAAATAATTTGTGGCCGTAACAGGGTCTGATTTGTAAAAAAATGAATATTATTTTAATCAAATTCCATTTCAGATTCACTGCTTTCTTCAGAATCTAAGGAATCTTCTTATTACCGGTTCCAGCATTGCATCAGTCATATTATCCAAATTCCACATTTTCTTTTCTTCCTTGTGAGCATGACTAACAGCATTTTTCCAATTTTCTGGAGTTACTTTTGATAAGGAATGTTACAATAGGTAATAATTCCTTTTTTGTCGAATTCTCCTTGTACGCAATTGCGTGTTTATCCAACCATTCGATTATCTCTCCTTTTTTCCATGCCGTTGTTGGCAATTTTTCTGCTGGTCTTTAATGGTAACTAGCATTATCCATGACTATGACACAATTTTTTGGAATTAAATCCAACATTTGCTCAAAATATTCTTCAAAAACATCAGCAGTCATTTCCTCGTGGTAATCTTTGGTTGATTTTGAGGCAAAACTTAATAATCCACCATTGACAAAACCGTATTCGTTTCCAATATGGGTTATTATTGAGTCTGCGTCCTTTTCCAACGGGAACATTGTTTATTCCAACTTTTCACATTTATATCAACCCATAGATATGGTACAGTATGACCTTCATTTAGCTAAGTCTCGTCCAAATAAAAAATTGTTTTCCCTTCTTCTCGATACTTTTTAATAGTTCTTAGATAATCTCGTTTCCAACATACAATGTAATGTTTTTCAATTAAAACGGATTTTCTTCTATTCTTTTACCAACGAAATCCCATCTCTCTCAATAGTCCCCATAATTTCTTGTTGCTTATGATTGGTAACTCTTCGTTTTCTCTAATTAATGTTTGTTTGTGTGGAATGTATTTCTTCAATTTCCAAGGGTTTACTCCCTCCACACTTCTTGGGAGATGAAACAGTTCCTCCTTTTCTTTCGTTTAGGAATCTATAAATTGTTGCTTCTCCAACCCCTGTCATATTTGAACACATGTTAACGATTTCACGAACATTACTTAAAGGGCGTCGATGTACAAGTGCATCGTGTACATTTAATATTATATTTTTCTTCTTCAGCCTCTTAGACTGAAGGCCCCCTTAAAACTACACTTTAAAACCGGGATAAAACCTGTTGTCGACGTCATTTTTAAATGCAAATAACAAAATATCGACACCAAAAACGTAGGTAGGTAAGACATGAACAATGTACATCTACAGACTAAATGGAAAATGCAAACAATTTCTAATTTATATTATTGGCATAAGCTGTAATGTGGCATAATAACTACTTAAACTATTATTAGTGAAGCCTTATCAGTAATTCCAGGTAATCGTTCAAAGAAGGTATTCTTTTTGTGTCAGAATTGTATAGAAATTGTATAGAAAACAATAATCACCTTTAAATTACTGTTTACATTAATTTATTTCGTAAATCACTGAATTCTCTCGTTATTCACCCGTGTATAATTAATAATAATCGTGTGGCATATATACCGACGTTTTTTACGCACAAAAAAGGTATAGTTAGATTATTGGACACTTATTTTACAGAAGATTTTTTAAAAGATAATGAATTGTTGACGGCATCTTAAAATATTAATTTTTTTTATTTATTTCAAAACAAGTATAGTGTGACGCCTATGGTTTTTTGACCTGTTGATTTGCATACTTAATGTGCTATCAATATGATGGAAAAGGACTATAACGATAGTTATCGATGGGGAAAAATAAAATTCAACAGACCAATCAATTTGTAACTATAAAGCGACAAGTATCATAATATTCTATATTGAGTTATTTCGAAATTAGCAGAAGAAATGGGAGTAATGAGCAGTGACTTACTCTTAAACCTAGTCAGTTTGCAATTGCTACTTTCACCTTTAGTTTACACCTACGTTGCCTTCGATGGTGACGTGTTTCGTAGTGTTCGGGTAAAAGGTTGAGCGAAGATTTTTGATCGCGAGAGTTGGACGAAGAACGAAGCAGAAAGTACATATTTGGTTGTGATTAAGGCGATGTCTCTATGTTGAAAGTAACCAGGTGACGTCATCTCTTTTGTTAAGACAATTAGGACGTTTTTGGATCTGAATGGATTCTCAAATAATTCTTGATTTGAAAGCGGATAGGGACTATAATGCTAGAAATTTCAGAATCAATTTTGTGACTTATATGGAGATAATGAATATTCATAGATTCTGTTTTGAATTCTTCGGTTAGTTTGACCTGTGGTTGTTAAATTTCTTTTTGTTCTGAAAGAAAATAGAGTTCACTAATAAACTTTATTTATTTTAATATAGATGATCAATAAAAAAATTCAGTTATCCATACATATTTTACAGATGCCCTTACAAACGGCAATCATTTACCTGACATGGGATATAGAGACTTAGATAGAAATAGGCAAAATCCGAACACAAATACCCTGGTGATTCACAGCATGCAACGGGTAAGAAACTATTACTTATATTATACCCCAACAATCAGTACTCATAGCAAACCTCATTACATTTTTAAGTAAATCATTTGTATTCATCTACTGCCATTTGTAACTAACCACACTCATTTTATTTTTGATTTTAGCAACCTTCCCAAAGGCTAGTGAAGGTAAGATTTAGTGTCAACTATTTTAATATGTCATTTTTGTGTGTCTAACATCTAACGAAAATAGTGGATGAAATTTTAAATAAATGTGTAACATATTTATACTTATGATTTATGATTAAACTTAAACTGTTGACTTATAAGGTATTAAAATAAGCAAGTTATGTTACCAATAAGGTATCGTTATGTTCAATAGAGTCCTAGTGTTTCATTTCTTACCTTAGATGAGACACCACTTATCTCTGGTATAGTGTCGCTATACCTTTGTAATAAACTTTGTGTATTAAATTCTGCCAATAAGTTCTGTCTTCTTGATAAAATTAACAACTTTTTTCTGGGGAATGGAGTCAATTCACAATTTTAGTCACTGGTAATCCATAATTAGCTTCCAGGCCCTAATATTTAATTCACTGATATTTTGGATGTTCAATTTATTACCCATATGGATTCTCTAAGGAAAGATAAGGAAAGAAAATTTCCGTTTTGATGTTAAAGGACTCTTCGTCAGCACGTATTAACACAAAATACCTGTCCATGAGTCGACTTTATCTATATTGAGGATCACATGCTTGGTGTGGATGGATCACGATGGAGCTTCATCGATACGGCAATCTTTTATGGATTCCATTTCATTATTTTTCAGCGTAGTTTTTGGGTATCATCATCATTCAGACCATACTCGTCCACTGCTGAACATAGGCCTCCCGTAGTTCACCCCACAAATTTCTGTCCTGAGCCGCCTGCATCCAATTTTGATGTGTCCGTTTCAGGTCATCCGTCCATCTTGTTGGTGGTCGTCCTCTATTCCTAAAGGCATCTTGTCTGGGTCTCCACTCAAGAATGCGTTCGTTCTCGCGACGTGCCCTGCCCAGTTCCATTTTAAGGTTGATATTCTTTTGATTGCGTCGGTTACTCCCGATCTAGGGCGCAATTCTGTGTTGGGTATTCGGTCTCTCAGGGTTAATCCCAACATGGACCGTTCCATTGCCCTCTGTGTTGTTCGAATTTTGTTTGCGGACGTCTTAGTAAGTGTTAGCGTCTCCGCACCATAGGTTAGAACCGGCAGCACACATTGATCGAAGACTTTTCTCTTCAAGCAGATGGGAAGAGCTGATTGGAAAACATCTCTTAGCTTCCCATAAGCTGCCCATGTCAATCCTATTCTACGTATTAGTTCATTGGTCTGGTTATCTCTACTTAAGCGAATTTCGTGTCCCAGATATTTGTATGCTGATGTTTGTTCTATACTTGTTCCAGCTATGTTGATGTTCTCACTCAGAACAAGGTTTGTCATCACTTGTGTTTTTGAGTTATTGATCTTTAAACCCACTTGTGTAGAGGCATGGTAGAGCCTTTCGCACATTTCGATGGCATGATCTATGCGGTCTGTTATCAGGACTATATCGTCCGCGAACCTGAGGTGACTAAGCTGCTCTCCATTTATGTTTATGCCCTTTTCGTCTAGGTTTGCACGCTTACACATGTATTCCAATAATGTTGTAAACAGTTTTGGTGAAATGGTGTCGCCCTGGCGAACTCCACGATGAGTGTTGAACTTTTGTGTATCTTCATGGAGTCTGACGCATGCCGTGGCATTATCATAGATATTTTTGATGACAGTGGTGTAGCGGTGATCTATTCGGCACTCTTTTAAAGCTTCTAGCATTTTCTGGTGGTTTACTGTGTCGAATGCTTTCTCATAATCCACAAATATTAGGACGAGGGGTTTATTGTACTCTATACATTTTTCGATGAGGCTTTTAATAACTTGTAGATGGTCGTTTGTGCCGAAGCCTGACCTGAGTCCTGCCTGTTCGCATGATTGGTAAAAGTCCATTTTGTTCGAAAGTCTGTTTGTTATGACTTTTGTAAAAAACTTGTATATGTGTGAGATGAGGCTGTCTATAGTTTACGAGATTTGTTAAATCTCCTTTCTTAAACATTAGAATGATCACTGCATTTTGCCATTGTGATGGTGTTGTTCCTCTTTCAAGGCATTCTGTGAAAAGTATGGAAAGCATTTGTATCAGTTTCTCGCCTCCTAATTTTATGGCTTCGGCAACGACCCCGTCGTCGCCAGGTGACTTATTATTTTTCATTTGTAGGAGAGCTTTTTTGATTTCATCAACAGTAACATCTGGTATGTCTTCCGAGCCCTGGTTTAGAACCTTTGGTATGTTGTCAGTTGGAACATTTTCTTCTGTTTTGCTGTAGAGTTCGCTGTAAAATTGTCCGACAGTTTGTAGAATTTCCTGTTTATCTGTTATTATTTCGCCCTTTGTGTTTTTCAGTTTGTAAATATTTTTTTTCCTATTTGCTGTTTCCTTCTGAAGACTTTTAAACTTTTGTTCTCTTCTATGACTTTTGATATCTCTCTGGTGTTGTAGTCTCTTATATCTTTTCTGATGTTCTTAGTGATTTGTTTGTTTAGTTGTCTCATTTCTGTTAGATTGGTTCTGTATTTATCTGTTAGTTGTCTTCTTTCCTCTAATAGAGTTTTCGTGCTTAGACTTAGTTTTTCTTCGTCTTTTTGGTTTTTTGGGCAACATTTTTCTTGTGCTTGTTTCAGAGCTTTGACTATTTTCTGGTTTAGTTGTTCGATGTTTATGTTTTCTGTTTCTTCGTTTTGTAATTTTTCTTCGACCGTACGTTCAAACAGTTTTGCATTTTCAGGTGGTACCCATCTTCTAACATTTGGTTTAGGAACAAGCTTCATTCTTTCTTTTTTAACGTTAAGCATTACTTTTGTTCTTATCATCCTATGGTCGCTGCCAGCAGAGAACTTGTTGAGTACTTCCACGTCTTGTATTATATATTTTTTATCTGTAATTATAAAGTCGATTTCGTTTTTGACGGCGCCATTAGGGCTTATCCAAGTCCATTTGTTTTGGGGTTTCTTTTTAAAGAAAGAGTTCATTTGAAACATGCATTGATGATGTAGAAAGTTTAAAAGCATGTCCCCTCTTGCGTTTCTTGCCCCGTATCCGTACTTTCCTAACGCGATCTCCGCTTGGTCTTGTTTGAATCTGAGTTTTGCGTTGAAGTCGTCCATGAGAACAGTATAGTGTGTTCGTGTTCTTTGTTGTGCCTCTGCTACATCCTCATAGAATTTTTCAACTTCTTCATCTGTGTGTCCAGTTGTCGGGGCGTAGACCTGTATAACTTTTAAACTATAACGAGAGTTTAGTTTTAATATCAATAGGATGACTCTCGTGCTTATGGTCTCGATTTTCGTTATGTTGGGTATGTGTTTTTTATGTACAATGATCCCGATTCCACCGCTGGATGAATGTTCCTCTCCTCTGTAGTGGAACAGGTGTCCTGATTTCAATGTTTGTTGTTCTTTTCCTCTCCTTCTAATTTCACTAAGTCCCATTACATCCCATTTTATTGTTTTTAATTCGTTTTCCAGTTCTATTAGTTTATGATCGGTTGAGAGGGTTCTTATATTATAGGATGCAAGATGCAGTATTCTTGTGCAGTTTAGCCGTCTTGAGTGGTAGCCTGGTCCATCCCGGGTATTCTTAGCACCCTCTGCTTTTAATCTTTTCTGTCCGCTACCTTGGTCAGAGATTTTTGAGCTGCCGGGGACTGAGGGCCGTGTTTGGTTTGTGTTTTGCATGTTTACGGGGGGTTTGGCCTTAAAACGCCACGCTGGCCAGACGTGTTGGCGAGTTGGGGGAGGATATAGGGAAGGAATTTGGGGTTTGGGTAGGATAATATTGGGGTTTGGGCCTGGTTTCCCCTAAGTAGGGAGTAGAGGAAAACCAGGAGCTCGCGTGGGCAGGGGCGCTACCTCCCTGAAGTAAGTCTACCCTCTATCGGGATCATAGAGGGGTACCTACCCGCTACCCGATTTTTTTTGGGTAACACTACTGTCTTAATCTCCAATAGATTAGTTTTGTAATTTCTACCACTACAATAATTTTTGGAGGTAGTTGCAGGTGTAATTTTTTCGTTTTATGATTTTTATCATGAACATCAGTTTTCCCTTGACAACTTGTATAGTAAATTATAGTTTCTCTCTGTTTGTACTCTTAGGATGTATTCGGATTTCCATCGCTTCACTAATTTTTATGAAATAGAAGTAGAATTTTTAGAAAAAATATGATTTTTTTTTTTCAAAAAATTATGTATCTTGACTACCGCTACAGAATGTGAAAAAACGTCAGAACTAATTTATCTTTGATGCTCTTGGTTCGGATTCTTGATGGATAGGTCAGATTCACCCCTTTGTACCTGTCACAGGAAGAGGGGATGGCAGTAGTGTATTTTTGAAAAAATGTATCCTATTATAATCATTTTTTCTGATTTAGCATCAAACTTTTCTTTGAATTGTTTAGCTACATGTACATATGCAGTACATCCAAATATTTTCATATTTTTAATATTAGGTTTCCCATCATTCCATACTTCAGAAGGTGTCACATTATTCAAATGATTGTTCGTGAGTTTGGTTACAATTATATGTTGCAACCCTTATTGCTTCATTCCAGAATGTTTTTGAAATTTTAGCCTCTAATCATTACTCTAGCTTTGTCAATTAAACTTCTATTGAATCGTTCCACTTTTCCATTATGTTCTGGAGTATATGGTGTGGTATAATCTATCCATGTTCCATTTTCTCTGCATAACTGTCTAATTTCATTTGAAATATATTCTCCCCATTATCACATCTTAAAGTCGCAATCCTTTTGTTGAATTGTGATTATACCATATTCATATATTTTCTAAAACATTTTACAACCTCATTTTACCTTTAATAATATAAACAACACACAAACTCAAAAAAAACCATTAATAAAAGTTACAAAATATTTTCCTACATCATGACTTAGTGGAGAAATTGGTCCTACCACATCTGTATGAATTATTTCTAATAATCTTTTTCTTAATTTAACATTGAATGATACATTCTACATCAGTATTTCTCACTTGACTTAAAACTTTAATGTTTCCTACACCTATTGCCTGCATATAATCATTATTTTTAGCTACTGATGTATCAATTGGATTGTACATAATCTTTGAAAATAGGATTTATTGTTTACCAAGTGATCCGGAATCTATATAAAATAATAATTTATCTTTATTTCTACATACTTGAGAACCTAATTTAACATGAACGGTCAAAAAACATACATTATTTTGCTGATTGTCACTGTTGTCTCCCATATCTATGTAATTTTCTTGAAGATCTCTGTCTTGATTGGTGGCCACTACCTCCTCTCTGTCATCTAAAACTCTTACCTCTGAAACTTCCTCTCATTTGACCATTTCCTCTGTATCCTTTATTAAATCCTCTCATAGGTGCTCTATTATATGTCTCTACATTAACTCTACAATATTTTTGCATATGCCCTGACTTGTGATATCTGATAAAAAACTATGGTTTTGTAGTACTGTATGAAGATGCCTTCTTTCTTAAACTTCTGTTCGAAGTTTTTTATTTGCCAATTCAATTGTTAACTCTTGGATCTAAATTTTCTAGAATTGCAATAACTGTTTCGAAGAATGTTAGCATAGAGAGTACGAGAGTAGCAAGTTACATACTAAATCTTCGTCCCTGATTTCCACTCCCGTTACTTTCAATTGTCTTGTTACATCATCGAACTCACTAAAAAACTGCTCCAGATCATCGACCTCTTTTAATTTCATAGATATTAATTTCTTTCTCAAAATCATTTGTCCAAGTAGTCCTCTTTTTTCATATCATTCTTGCAAAGCATGCCATATATTCTAAGCTGTTGGTTTATCTCGAATAACCTCTAATTGATTGTCATTTGTACATTGTACACTTATTGACCTACAAGCTCTAATTAAAAATGGCGGATGACTAGTGACGACTAGATCAACGTCATGACGTCAACATATATCGTTCTGACTCTTACACATGTAACGAAGGCACTTCTCTTTCTAACACATTGATTTCCCTATTCTGATAGCCGTTTCCTCATTATCACACTACTCTTGTGGATGTGTAGAAGAATTTAATAATCGATGGGCAATCTTTTGGATTGTGAACTTAAAGTAAATTTTCTAGATCTTCAAGGTCTTGAAGAGGGGAAAAGTTCCTGTTTGGAGTTGTCTGATTCAGAATAAAAATCGCCCGATGGACGAGAAACTTAATCATATAATAAATCTATCTTTTCTTCGATTAAAATCATTGTGTGGCAATATCATCTGTAAATGAGCATATTTGAGAAGATTGTATATTTATATAGCCGGTGATTTAAAGTTAGACGGCAGTACTTTTTCTGGTCAATTTCATTTTCAGTATCAAATGCCTCTATCAGATGTCCGTTTATTCGCACCACGTTCTTGGTAACATCATTTATATAACTTTAATCAACTTTTTCGTTATACCTAGCATTGATAAATGCTTTAACATCTTTTGCCTATCGACTCCATGAACACCTGTTTGCAATCGATATACAGAGAGTACATTGGTGTGTTATACTCAAATAATTTTTTGTCTATGTAGTAATAGCGACTATTAAGTAAATTTGATCCAACTAGCTTTGTTTTATTAATTTTTGTGTGTGCATTTTGGTTTTATTTTTCAATTAACACAAGGTCGAGCTAAATAACGGCGCCTGGAAAGAGATCGAAACAATCGAAGTGAATACCGAAGATAAAGAGATCGACGAAGGCGTTGATGGTATGGAACGGAGTAATGGAAAAACCAACGGTAACATTACGAACGAAGCCAATGGTACCGCCAATGGAGAAAGTAAGGACGCGAAAAATGACATTGCTGTATCCAAGGTTTGGCTTTTTCATTTTTTTATCATACTAATAATACTTTTTGGCTTAACTGTTCTCTATAACCATAAGCGGTTTCAGGTGCGGCATTTCTTTGAAAAAAATATTTTAAAACGTTACAATATTTTTTACAAAGAAATTCACGTAGTGCTAGAACTAGTCGATAAACTGAATCATCAAGTTAAAAAATGGCTTTCTTAACAATTAAAAAATACGTTTGTTATTTGAGTTTTAAGACGTATGTTAGTAAGAAGGCTATATAGTGATTAGAATACTAATATTAAAAAGTGTCAGGGCATAATAAAATTCCACAATGATATTATAGAAGAAATCGATTTCAAATAATAAATTTATATTGGTTATACCTGCAGTAAAATTAACATTGTCGCCACTCAATCGTAAAATATAGTATGATCGCGTTAATCCGAACGGAATCGGGGAAACGGGTTGTTCGGATGATCGCATCGTTCAGATTATCTATGACTTTTTTATTGGAAGAAGAAAAACTGCAAAAACACAATGAAAATGACTGAAAATGCTTTATGTATATTAATAAAATATTCCCTCCATCCAATGGCACTTCAGCCCAAATCGGGCCTTGGCATCCTTCAATAAGCTTCTCCAATCACTTCGATTTACCGCTGTTCTTTTCCATGAACGCGTTATCAGGCAGTTCCTGGCATCCTCATCGACTTCGTCTTCCCATCTCTTTTTAGGTCTTTTTCCCTGCATTCTTGCATTTAATAATTTTCTGGGTATTCTATTCTCATGCATGCGGACCACCTGCCCTGCCCACCGTAATTTCTGCAGTTTAGTGTATTGTGCTAGAGTTGATTCGTTATATTTCTCGTAAATTTCTCAATTATACCTAATTCTCCAGTTGTTGTTTTCACTTATTGAGCCCAGTACCCTACGTAATATTTTTCTTTCAAACACATCTAATACATTGGCAGATTTCTGTGTCACCACCCATGTTTCATAACCATAACTTACTATGGGCCTGATTATTGTTTTATAGACCCGGAGTTTTGAATTCCGGTGTACACGTCGCGATTTGCTTATGTGCCCCATCGCGAAATAGGCTTTATTTGCCAACATAAGCCTTCTATTTATTTCCGGTTCTTCTTAATTACTTGCGACCAGATCCATTCCTAGGTACGTGAATCTATTCACATGTTCTATATCGTCAATAAAGTGTTGTTGCGCCCGTCTATTTGATCTGGTTTGTATGAATAGTTTTGTTTTATTTGTATTTATTGCTAGCCCTACTACTTCTGCCCTCTGTTTCAACTCAACGTAGGTTTCTTCCTCTGCATTCACTGTTCTGCTCGTTGTCAACCGTCTAATTACATTAATTAAATGATATTGTTGATAGGTCTGCCGTTGATTTTTATTCCAATTGTTACATTTTCAAGTGATTTTTTAATTATTTCTTCCAAATATAAATTGAACAATAAGGGGGAGAGTATGCAACCTTGGCTTACGCCTCTTTTTATCTCGTACTTCCTCCGAAAGTTCTTTGCCTACTCTGACTTTTGCTGTTTGGTTACAGTAGAGATTAGGTATTATTCTTAAGTCTTTTTTGTCAATGTGTTTAAGTAACTGTATAAGACGGTTGTGTCGGACCTTATCGAACGCCTTATTGTAATCAATAAAATAAACATAGAGAGGTTGGTTTACATCCATACATCTTTGCACGAGGACGTTAAGTCCAAATAATGCCTCTCGTGTACCCATGGCATTCCTGAATCCAAATTGGGTTTCAGTGATGTCTTGTTCCACTTTTCTGAAAATTCTTAAATGGATAATTTTTAAGAATATTTTTAGTGTGTGACTCATTAGATTAATTATACGGTAATCATTACATTCCTTTGCATTAGGTTTTTTTGGTAATGTAATAAATGTTGATTTGAGCCAATCTCTCCAAATAATACCTGTATTATATATAGTATTATAAAAGTCTACTAATACATTGATCTGATCTTTTGATATTAATTTAATTATTTCCATTTTTAATTGTGTCAGGCCCCGCAGTTCTATTAGATTTTGCCAGATTTATTGCATGTATTATTTCACCCTTAGTTATATTTGGACCTATATCATGTTCCTCGCAATCGTTCATGCTATCTTGTTGTCCTGTCGTCCTCAAACAATTCTTTGACGTATTCTCTCCATCTGTTTAGTTTGCCTTTGATATCACATATTATTTTACCATTCATATCAACCAGGGTGTTACTATTGTTGGGCCGTCTTATACCTGCTAATTCTTTAATTTTTTTGTGCAATTCAAAACTATCATGATTTCTCTGAAGTTCTTCTATCTCTTAACATTTGTCGTTGTACCACTTCTCTTTAGCTGCCCGTATTTTTATCCTGATCTCCTTGTGTGTTATGCTATACGTTTGTAAAAGGTTTTACCTGTTTGACCCATGTAAGTTTTTGGGCGTGTAAGTTTGTATACACCACTGTGTAAATGCTTTTTTCTTTTGATTCTTGTTGTTCTTAATATATTTGCTTAAGTTGTTTTTTGTTCTGAAAGTTGACGTTATTCCTTTCTTTTTAATGTGTTTGGCTATTTTTGTTGATATCTTGCCTGTATATGTAATCGAGCAGAAAGTACTGGGTTTTTATCTCTGTTGGTTAAACCAAAAACTTCATAAGTATGCCCTGAAAATTAGTCTTTCAACCAAGAGAGAAAGTAAGTAAGCGTAAATGTGAGAAAGTGAGTAAAAATGGAGGAGGGTGAATGAAGGATTGATGAAAGAGAGAGGAGGGACATAGAGAGGTAAGAGTCCGTGAGTGTGTAGGGTGAGATGGGGAGAATGAGAAAAGCCTCCGTCCAGCTAGTAGTTCCTAAGGTTCCGTAACATATTTTTTTTACAGGAAGAGATTGTCAGCCTCTACCCAACCCCCTACCTGGAGAGTCAGAAACTCTTCTGTTAGGATTGCCATACTTTATTCTAATTTGGTTCGCGGTTGGTATTTTTATTTTCCAACTACCCACCGGTCCTATGACTGGTAAGCGGCGTTCCCCTATCCACCACCTGAGGACACTTCCGATGGAAGACAGATAACTCCCCATGGAAGTCTTTACAATACGCATTTATAATTCCTAGTAACTTCTAACAATCAAAATTTCCCTATATATTTAGTGAACCGTTATCTGGAATTCACTTAAATGGATCGATCGTCTACTTGTTTGACAAGTCAGAGTACTGTTACACCGAACAGTGAGGAAGGTTCGGCAGCGACAGTGAATAGTTGCTTCTAGAAGGTCTGGATCATTGAACGCCCACCTGCGATTCGATCGTTGATCGTGTATTTACCATGCCAAACAGTCGGTAGACTCTGTATGACATGCAGGACCGGCATTACACAAGTAATCATTAAAAAGAGCGGAAAGATCCCATTTGTAAGATAATTTCAAACGAGATCATATGGCAATTTATTTTTAACAATATCTACACAAAGTTCGAGTTTCACTTCGAAAGCTAATAGAATTTTGTTGACCTTCAGTGATGTTATTACTAAAAATGGCAACCGGGCACCATTTTCTGAGGTCATTTTGAATAACACAACAAGTTTTTAGTTGTTTAGATATGTTGAAAAGGAATTTTAAATAGTTTTCATATGAGGTATTACTTGCCATACATTTCTATACATACGACTATTAAACCAATTACAAAATGGTACCTGTCCACCACTTTTGGTAATTACGTCCATTGTATTGTTATAAAAACCAAGAACAGATGCCTTAGTAGATTTTTATTACTAAGAAATTTATTGATTTCAGTTTGTCGTTCATAAAATGTTACAAAGGAAACAGTTTACATGCACACTGTATAACTCTTGCATCTTCAGTTACTTCTGTTAATATCGTATGTTATATTTTAGCCCGGTGACTATAGCTTTACAAATACATCACAGCTGCCGAACGAATCTCAACAAAATCTAGAATTTAGAGGTAGGTCTAGGAAACGTAGAGACTTCTTCGGAACAATTAAGAGAAGACTTGGCAAGTCGATGAACAGATCAAAATCTGCTGGGCCAGAAAACGATCTAGGACGTGATGATTCCCTGAATAGATCTGTTTCTGCAGATCGAGGGCGACATGATGAAAGTAAGTATATAATTTGTTGGATTATTTATTTATTTATATTTATATAAATTCCTCAGATAATTTGAAGACAATTTAACCCAATTTACCTAGTCCAAAAATGCTTCCTAAGGGAGCTAGAGCTTTTTAAAGATGGTTGCTTGCAATTAGTTTTTTTAATACCTCCAGAACACTTCTATTAAAAAAAAAAAACGAAAACTGGTACAATTATTTATCCCCCATAGTTAAATCGATCCATTAATTGCTAATTTCTAGTAGGTACCGGTCATAGACGTCTGTTTTGAGTAGGTCAATGATTATTTTAACGTATAACTTTTTTGTTTTTAACTTTTAAGTATTTGTAATACCAGATTATTAATTTTCAGGTATTCTAGTACTAAAATATACTGTTATTTCAAGTTGATGGAATACAACGTTCTCGAGAAAAATCGATTTGAAAATTTTTTGTTTTTTCATCATGAATCGATTCAACTTTGAAGGATAAATAATGGTAGCAGTTTTCGTTTTTGTAAATAAGAGGGTTCTGGAGGTATTCGAAAAAAATAACTTACAAGGCGCCATCTTCAAAGAGCTCTAGCTCCCTCAGGAAGCATTTTCAGACTAGGCGAATTGGGTTAAATCGTCTTCAAATTATCTGAGGAATCTCTGGTTTTCGTTTATCAGGAGAGTTTTTGGACACTCTGTATAGACTAGCTCTAAGTCGTTCGTTGACAGCTCAGAATGTCCCTGATTACGTCTAAGAGGATATGCTACATTAGGGTTATAAATTGCAGAGATCTATAATTTTTAATAATGTATGTATCTCATATTTAGTATATATTTACATCTTCTAGATCTCGGTAATTCATTGCTAGATATAAGTTTCCTACGAGCTCTTCTATGCTTTTCTTTTTTCTATGCGACTTTTGTTCAGGTTTTCCTCACTCTTTTTCAAATATCGTCGACCCATCTTAGTGGAAATCTTCAATTATTTATCTCTGTCACATATGTTCTCTATTTTATCACTCATTTCTGCCTGACCACGTGTGTCTGGCTCATTTCTTCACTTAGTCGGGCCTAGAATCAGTTGCGCAATAATGGAGTTCACGCAATAAATAGAACCAATGCATCTGGATGTGATAAATAGACGAGTAGATGTTTGTGTGCCCAACTCTCATCTATTACTTAGCTATATTGTAATGCATTGGTTCTATTACCGCATTACTTAGCTTCCCAACAGAAATTTCTCGTAGCTCTCGCTAGTTTATTAATCCCCTAAAACCAACCATTCTTTCTATTGCTAAGTAAGTTTTGTTCTGTTTCTTATGTCTGAGTGCCTCATTCTGTCTGTTCTTCTTTTTAATGTGCCCTATCCCTAAGAACATTGGCGATCATCATGGTCCATTTGACTCTATCTGCAGCCGTTCTGAAAAGTTCTATTGACGTTTTCCCACTCCATTGTCTCAGATTCTTCAACCAGGACGTGCGTCTTCTCCTCTTTTGCCTTCCACCTTCCCTTGTATGACCAGCCGCATCAATTCGTATTTCTCGTTTCTTAGTATGTGACTAAAGTAGCTCATTTTTCTTGTCTTTATAGTGTTGAGTATTTCTTTCTCTTTTTTCATTCTTCGTAGCGTTTCCGCATTTGTTATGTGTTGTGTCCAAGATATTTTCCACATTCTTCGATAACACCACATTTCAAAGTTATTGAGTCTTTTCTCTGTCACCTCTGTAATTGTCCAGGCCTCAACTCCATACAACAGGACAGAGAAAACGTAGCATCTCAATATTCTAGTTCTAATTTCAATGTTGAGTTTTCATTGCCTAATATTGCCTTCACCTTATTAAAAGCACTTCTATCTATCTCAATCTTAAAGGAGATTGAGATAGATAGATCCTTTGAGATAAAGGATGGACTCAGACAAGGAGATGCTCTGGCTTGCCTCCTATTTAATATTGCCTTAGAAAAGACAGTCCGAGATACACGAATTAGGGATGGCGGTACTATTTACAATAGATCGATACAAGTCTTAGCATATGCTGATGACATTGACATAGTAGGGAGTAGCAAGCGAGATGTTGAGCAATATCTCCTAGAATTGGAAACAGCGGCGAAACAGGTCGGTCTAGTCATCAACGAAGACAAAACCAAGTACATGTTGGTTACAAAGGATCCGATAGCAAATGAGGAACGAGAAACAGTCTTTGGAAGTCATACCTTTGGACGTGTTGACAACTTCACATACCTTGGGTCGCTATTGACTGCTACCAATAAAACAAGCGAAGAAATCAAAAGACCAATAAATCTTACAAATAGGGCATACTATGGACTCCAAAAGCATTTCCACTCAAGAAACATTCAAAGAAGAACTAAAATTATTATATACAAAACATTGCTGAGGCCGGTCCTCACATATGGAGCAGAAACATGGACACTAACGCAGAAAGATGAAAGACTTTTGGGAATATTTGAGCGTAAAATACTCCGCAAAATATTTGGAGCTGTAAACGACCAATGGCAGTGGCGCAGAAGATATAATTTTGAATTGTATCAGCTCTTTGATGAGCCAGATGTCATAACGTTAATTAAAACACAGCGACTTAGATGGGCTGGACACACGAATGCCAGAAAATACCATTGCTAAAAAGCTAACCACAGGAACACCCGTAGGAAAAAGAAGTAAAGGCCGACCGCGAATTAGGTGGTTAGATGGAGTAGAAACCGACTTACGAATATTAAAAATCAGAAGATCGCAACATGTTGCCAAAAACCGAACAGAATGGCGACGAATCTTAGAGCAGGCCAAGATCCACAGAGGATTGTCGAGCCAAAGATGATGATGATGATCTATCTCAATCATCATCATCCAGCCCCATTTTCACATCCATTGTTGGATATAGGCCTCCTCCAAACGTCTCCATTTCTCTCTATCTTTAGCTGCTGCAATCCAGTTTGTTTCTATTCTCCTTAGGTTGTCGGTCCATCGGGTGGGTGGTCTGCCTCGACTTCGCTTGTCGGCTCTCGGTCTCCACTCCAATAATCTCTTCGTCCATCTTCCGTCTTCCATTCTAGCAACATGTCCAGCCCACTTTCACTTTTGTTTATTGATTTGCAGTATAATATCGTCTACGCCAGTTCGTCGGCGTATCTCCTCATTTCTCACGCGATCTTTCAAGGTCAGGCCCACCATTCGCCTTTGTGTTACCCTCAGTTTTTCGGCAGTAGCTTTCGTCAAAGTTAGGATCTCTGCTCCATAGGTCAAGACTGGTAAGATGCATTGGTTAAATGCCTTCCTTTTTAGGTGAATTGGGATATTTGTTTTAAAAATGTCTCTCATCCTTCCATATGCCGCCCATCCCAACGTGATTCGTCTAGTTAGCTCGCAGGTTTGGTTGTCTCTGGTTATTCTAATTTCATGACCCAAGTATGTGTATTTATCGAATATTGGTCATCATTTTGGTTTTCTCGAAATTTATCTCCAGCCCAGTTTCTTCTAGTATGTCATTCAGTTCTTGGAGCATGTCTTTGATCTCTCCCAGATTATCTGACAGAAGCACGATATCGTCCGTAAAACGTAGATGGTTTAATCTCTCTCCATCGATGGATATTCCTTTCTCTTGCCATGTTAGTTTTTTAAATGCATACTCAAGAACGGTAATGAACAGCTTTGGTGACATGGTATCACCTTGCCTGACTTCCCTTTTTATCTTTATTTTATTAGTTGCAGAATGTAGACTTATGGTTGTTGTGGCATTTTCATATATATTTTTGACTATATTACAATATCTGTGGTCGACCCTGCAATCTTGTAGTGCTCTTAAGATGGACGGTAGTTCCACTGTATCAAACGCCTTTTTAAAGTCTACAAATATCAATGCCAAGGGACGGTTATATTCGTTAGTTTTTTCTATCAGGGTTCTTAGGCATTGCAGGTGATCGTTTGTGCCGTAATTAGGGCGAAAACCAGCTTGTTACCGAGGTTGGTAAAAATTCACCTTTGTCTCTAATCTGTTCGTTATTATTCGGGTGTATAATTTATAAAGATGGTTAAGGAGACTGATTGGTCTGTATCTTTCCAGGTCTGCTATATCTCCCTTCTTGTGTAAGAGTACAGTTATTGAATTATTCCACTTTGTTGGGATATTTTGATTCCATAGGCATAAATTAAAGAGCTTTTGAATTTTGGCTATCAGTACTGAGCCTCCTATCTTTATCGCTTCCGCGACGACACCGTCCTCCCCCGGAGCTTTGTTATTCTTCATCTTTTTAGAGCCTTGTAAATTTTGTCCAAAGAGATTTCTGGAATATCTTCGGGACCCTGATTTTGAACCTTCCTTTGTTGATATTCAACTATATCTAGAGTCGATTGGTTGCTATATAATGTCTCATAGAATGATTCCACAATTTGTAACAAATGTTCTTTCCCTGTTTGATGTGATGTTGCCATTTCTATCCTTGAGTTTGACTATTTGTTTATTTCCATTTGTGAGTTTGCGTCTCATTATTTTCATACTCTTATTTTCCTCAATAGTTTTGAGGATTTTCTCATCTTTGTATTTTCTTAGGTCTTTTCTGATTTCTCTTGATACTTCCTTGTTCATTTTATTTATATCGTCGTTACTAGAGTTTTCGTCGCTTCTCAGTATTCTTCTTTGTTCCATTTTTTTCTGTGTTTCCAGACTAATTTTTTCTTCCTTCACGCTTTTTGGGCAGCATTTCTTTTGAGCTTCTGTTATTGCTTCTACTATTTGTCATTTAGGACGTTAATATCATTTGTTGATGATTTTTCTTGAAGGAGTTTACCGATATGATCTTTAAAATTTTCTTCGTTGTTTGGATGTGTTCATATGTTTATTTGCTTCTTTTTTATCATATTGTGTCGTTCATAGTTGGTATTTAACACAATTGTGGCTCTCACCATATGATGGTCGCTTGATTTCGCAAATTTATTTAGCACTGTCACATCAATATGTATCTTTTATCAGTAATAAAGTAATCGATCTCGTTTGTCGTCTTCCTATCT